GTACTATTCCATGCAATAACATGAGTGAATCTCAAGTGGCTACTTATATAATTGCATTTGTTTAACATTTTGGAAGAGGCTAAATTATCAAAATAAAAATTATGCTCATGGTTATTGGGGGGTGAAGGAAAGGAAATTAATGGACCACAAAGGAAAACAGGGGAATGTTTAGGGCCATGGATATTTCTAAACATTAATCAAATTTATAAGGATAAATTTACTGCATATAAATTATACACTAATTTCTTTAAAATTATTTTTAATTGCCACATATTATTGGATTTGCATAAATAATATTTAATTTGAAAAAGTCGGCTTTTTTTTCATAACTACAAATTTGAACTACTACTCAGAAATAACAAGTAAAGTATTTGAGATAATACGGCTAAGAAACTTAATGATTGGTTATTAATCAGATGGACCAAGCCATCAAGTTACATTCCCTGATTTTAGAGATGCCGAAATGTAGTGAAGCATAAATTACCTAGCAAAGGAATGCTCTCTTGTAGCTCACAAGCAGCTGTAAGACAATGTTACTTTCTATGGTAAAATACCCTGAACACGTAGTTTGTATAAATCTCAACTGGAAAACAAACTTTTAGCTGAGATATGTGCAGACATAGTGAAAGAGATTACAGCTGCACACTACACAGAGTCTGCACTACTGTACCCATCCAGAAAAATATTGTACTCTACAAAATTAACAACCAGGTCATATTTGAGGGTAAAAGTCATTCCCCATACAAGCCATTCTACAAAATTCAAAGAAGTTACTGTTCCACTAAATGAACAGATATTAATACAGGAAAACAAAAAGCATGAAAAACAAGAAAAAATGACACAACTAAAGAAAGTCAGTAATGCTCCAATGACTGATCCTAAGGAGTTGAAAATTGCCAACTTTCTGGAAAAGAAACTCAAATGAATAATCATAAGGAAACTCACGGAGATACAAGACAATATGGACAGAAAATTTAACAAAATAAAAAAAAAAATCACGACCTGAATGAGAAATTTAACAAAGAGAGAGTGTGTTTGTCTGTTTTTGTGTTGCAATAATAGAAACACTGAAATGGGGTAATTTATAAATAAAATATTTTTTTGGCTCATGATTCTGGGGCAGTTGAGTATGGTGTGGTCTTCAGGCTGCTTCTCGTCATGGCAGGAAGCTGCAGGGCAGCTGGCAGGTGCAAGTGCAGATGGCCAGGGTAAATGAGAGAGGGAGAGGGGATGTGCCAGTGTCTTTCTAAGCAACCAGCTCATGTTAGAACTAATAGGGCAAGAAATTACTCACTAACCCTCCTCCAGGGAGGATATTAATCTATTCATAGGGATCAACCTTATGACCCAAACACTGCTCAGCACTGCCAGATTGGGGATTATATTTCAACATGAGTTTGAGGTCACAATCTATCCAAACTCTATCATTCTGTCCCAGGGCCTCTAAAACTCAAGTTTCCCTCACAAATATAATCATTCCATCCCAATAGTCCCCAAAGTCTTAGCTTGTTCTGGCATCAACTTAAAAGTCCAAAGTCTCATCAAAGAAAAAGGCAAAATATCTTCCAGCTGTGAACCTATAAAAATCAAAAAAGAAATTTACTACTCCTGGGTACACATTCCCATTCCAAAAAGGAGGAATGGGCCAGAAGAAAGGAGGAAGAGGCACTGAACAACTCCAAAACCCAGCAGCATAGGCAATAAATCTTAAAGTTTCAAAATAATCTCCTTTCGCAGTCTGCAGAATAAGTCTGTTGGAGAGTTTGAGTAGTGAAGATAGCTTTGTGTTAGAGAGAAAAATCAGAATGTTTCACAAAAAAGCAATCAAGAAGGAATTTCAGAAAGTGGGGAGATGAAGATACATAATGATGATAATCACAATGTAAAGAAAATCTATTAAAATATATTTACATATATTTATATATCAAAAAAAAATAATAATCTCCTTTGACTCCAAGTCCTATATCTTATGCACAGTGGGGAGTTGGGCCCTCCGAAACATGAGGCAGCCCAAATCCAGTGGCTCATCTAGGAAAAGGGTGTGATAGAGTTTGGATGTATTGTCCCCTCCAAAACTCATGTGGAAATTTGATCCCCAATGTGGCAGTGTTGGAAACTGATTGAGTCATGGGAGCAGATGCCTCATGAATGGATTAATGCTCGCCCTGGGGGAGGGGGGGATTAATGAGTGAGTTCTTGCTCTATTAGTTCCCATGAGAGTTTGCTGTTTACAAAGACCCTGGCACCTTCTCTCTCTCTCTCTTGCTTCCTCTCTCTTGCTTCCTCTTGCCCTGTGATCTGCTTGTACCTGTCAGCTGCTTGCCATTTTCCACCATGAGTAGAGGCAGCCTGAGGCCCATGCCAGATGCAGCTGTCCCAGAATCATANCTGGTACCTGTAGATTTTTCAGGTGGATGTTGCAGGTTTCCATAGCACTGCAGTGCTGGGGTACTGGTGATGGTCCTGCTCTCATGGCTCTAATATACCCTGCTCTGGTGGGGGTTCTCTGTGGGGGCTCTCATCCCACATTTCTGCTCTGCATTGCTCTAGTATATGCCCTCTGTGGTGGCTCCACCCTTGTGGTAGGTAGGCCTCTGCACCCCCAGGCTTTTCCATACATCCTCTGAAATCTGGGTGGAGGCTGCCACACTTCCACTGCTCTTATGCTCTGCAGTCCTGCAGACTTAACATGACCTGGATGTTGCCAAGGTTTTGTGCTTGCATTCTCTAGAGTAGTGGCATGAACCACACATGTGACCACTTTTGGCAAGGCTGCTGCAGCCAGGTCTTCTGGGATGCTGGAAGCAGTGTCTTATGGTGGCTCAGGGCCGATGCATCCAGGATCTGTCTTCTGGAATAATTCCTAGGCCTCCAGGGGCTTGTGGGCTTTTGATGGGAGAGGCTTGCTTGGAGACTTGTCAAATGCCTTCAGGGCCTTTCTTCTATTGCCTTGGTTAATAACACCTGACTGCCTTATAGCCATGCTAAGGTCTTTAGCCAGCAATCTTTCTGCTGTACAATTGGATTTTTCTCCTGAAAATGATTTCTCATTCTCTACCACATGGCCAGGCTACAAATTTTCCAAATATTTATGCTCTGCTTCCCTTTTACTTATAAATTCTGGCCTTACATCATGCCTTTGTCACCATAACAGGGCATAGTCTATTACAGGTACCCATGTAGCTGTCTGACTGCTTTGCTTCTTAGAAATGTCTTCCACCAAATTTTATGCCTCAAAACTCTTAAGTCTCACCTTCCACAAAGTCCTAGGTGATGGAGAGAATGCAGCCATGTTCCTTGCTATGGTGCAGCAATGGTCATATTTTGTTCAATTCTCAATAAGTTCCTCATTTCTATGTGAGGCTTTTACTAGCAGCTAGACTTGGCTTGCCTTCTGACATTAAACAAATAACTAAAAAGTTCGTGCACATTAAACAAATAACTAAAAAGTTCGTGCATGCAAGGACTGGAAGAAATTTATTCAGATAACTGGCAACTGTGGGATGATCAGATTAAAATCATTCCACCTTCTGATACCTGTTCTGGGGTTGATAAAGAGGAAGAGGTGGGAAAGTGAGGTAAGCATTTTGTCCTGCAGGAAAAAGGGGGAGGCTGACCATGGAATCAGTAGAGGGTCTGAGTTAGATGTCAGGGTCCCTTGATGGACTGGGTGCTTTGGTGTCATGGAGTCTGCAGTTGGTAGCCTGATTGGCTTCAACTTTTAATGGATTTGGGGGTTAGAGTCCTTATCTCCTAGGGAGAGCTTGAAGACAATAACCTCAAACAAACATCACTGGAACATAAAAATACCTAATTCAGCCCTCTAACTAATATGGGTGCAGTTTTTTTAATGTAATGAGTAAGAGATACAGATTTCACAGAGAAAGGGAATTTTTCTTTAAGCAAGAAGCTGAGTTATTAATCAGCTAGGGTGCTTTGCCTTTCTCTTGTACTTCCTCTGTTGACAGTTGATTGGCGGGTAAGTAAAATAAGAAAACTTGGTTTAAATCCTTAACTATCTGTGCACAACATCTAAAGCAAATCAACGTAAGAGGTGGTAAAAAGAAATAAATCTTTTGAGAAGAATCTTTTTAGGGTATGACTTCATCTCTAGGCAGTTTCACTCATATGGTCAGTTTCTTATTTCCTCTACTAACCTCAGGAATTGATGACTATCAGTTCCCAAGTTAATGGCTAACTAAAATTTTGTACTTGATCTTAGTTAGCCCAAAGATGGCCATTCCCTGGCTAAGGTCCCTTTCAAGACCTCATCAGCATGGCCTTTACTTTTGACATTTCTGTCAGCACTCTAGTCACAACCATTCAACCAATCTCTAAGAAGTTCCAAACTTCCTCTCAAATTTTCTGTCTTCTTCTGAGTTCTCCAAACTCCTCCAACCTTTGGCCATTACCCAGTTTCAAAGCAGCTTCCACATTTTCAGGCATCTGTATAGCAACACCCTACTCCTCAGTACCAATTTCCATATTAGTCTGTTTTTGTATTGCTATAGTAGAATACCTGAAACTGGGTAATTTATAAAGAAAAGAGGGGCTTTTTTAGGTTCATGTTTATGGGGAAGCTTCAACTGGTGCAGGCTTCATGCTACTTCTACTCATGGCAGAAAGCAGTAGGGCAGCCAGCATGTGTGACATCACATGGTGAGAGGAAGCAAGAGGGGGGGGAGGTGCCAGAGTCCTTTAATAAACAGCTCTTAGGGGAACTAATAGTGAGAATGCACCCACTAGCCACCTACCAGGAGAGTACTAATCTATCCATAAGGGGTCCATCCCCTGTGATGTCTCAACACTACCAACTGGGGATCATAGCTCTACATGAGATTTGGAAGGGTAACATGCCCAAACTTTATCAGAGAGATATCATTTTAAAAAATCAAACAGAAGAGGACTATGGGAAAATTGCAGATAAGAGGTTTCCAGTAGCATTCATCCTAAACAAGAAGAAAAGAACAAGCTAACTGCCACCACTGCCACAATCCCCAATGCCATTGTCCAGTCCTAGATCAGTCACCCATATTCCCATAAAGCAGTTTGTCCTGCTTTCACCACAGCCACTGACGCTGATTGCTACCATGCAGGTGGCCCAAAGCTACAGGGGCCACACCTGTGAAGCAGGAAGCCCACCACTGCTGCAGCCACTGCCACTGCTGCAACTATATTTCCACTTTGCTGGAAGCCTGAAACCATGGAAACCACCAAAACACATGGGTGATCCACAACCATCCACAACCACAGCAGCCACTCAGCAGCCACTCATGCTTTGGGAGCCCTGCCAACACAGCAGCCACCCATGCCACAGAAGTCTTACTTCTACTGCCCACACCATGGCATTCATACAGAGGGTCACAAGCATAGCTCATGGAAAGAGGTGAGTGAGTGCAGACCCATGATCCAGTAGCTGAAAACACCCAAAAAACAAATATCAGAAATGAGAAAGGAGACATTACAACCAACACCACAGAAACCATTAGAATCATTAGAGACTATTATGAACAATTATACATCAGCAAATTTAAAAACCTGGAGGGTATTAGTCTGTTTCTGTTGCTTATAACAAGATACATGGAACTGGGTATTTTATATACATATGAGAAAATATTTCTTACAGTTTCTGAGGCTGGGTAGTACAAAGTCCAGGGAACACATTTGGTGAAGGTCTTGGTGGTAATGGTAGTGACCCAGGCGTCTCACATTGTGAAAAGGTGGAATCAGAAAGAGTAGAGGGGGGCCAGCCCGGTGGCACACTGGATAGGTGCGCCGCTTGGGAAGTGCGGCGGCACTCCCGCCCGAGGGTTCGGATCCCACATACAGACCGGTTCCCGCTCACTGGCTGAGCGAGGGGCAGGAGCAACACTGAGGGTTGCAATCCCGTTGCCGGTCCCCGGTCCGGTACGGGGGCAACACTGAGGGTTGCGATCCATTGCCGGACACGGAAAAAGACAAAAAAAAAAAAAAAAAAAAAAAAAAGAAAGAGTAGAGGGAGAGAGTTCCTCATGTACTGTCCTTTTAAAACCCTCAGAACCATGCCTATAACCACTAATTTTAATCCATTCATTATGGCATGTTCCTAAAATCTAATCACCTCATCAAGACCCCAACTTTTGATTACCATAATAGGATTTCCTGCCCTCTTAACAGTCACAGTGGGGGCTAAGTTTCTAATACATAAAACTTGGGAGACACAATTCAAGCTTCAGGGAGTTTGGGGGGAACATAATTCAATCTGACTACATGGAGGAAATGAATACATTTCTGGACATATACAAACTACCAAGATTAAGCCAAGAGGAAATAGAAAACCGGAACAGACCAAAATAAGCAGTGAGATTGAAGCAGTACCTGCAGTTTCCCAACAAAGAATATCCCAGGATCAGATGGCTACATTGTTGAGTTCTACCAAAATTTTAAAGGGTAATTAGTACCAATTCTCTTCAAACTATTCCAAAAATTAAAACAGAAGTCATTCTCCCAAACTCTTTCTCTGAGGCCAGCATCATCCTGATACTTAAAGCAGACAAAGATACAACAACAAAAATAAAGCTACAGGCCAATATACTTGATGAACATAGATGCAAAAATACTCAACAAAATGTTAGCAAACAGAATACAGCAGCATATCAAAATGATAATATGCCATGATCAAATGTGATTTATCCTAGGGATGCAATGGCTATTCAACATATGCAAATCAATAAATGTGGTGCATCTAGCAGTGAAAGAATTATGCCAACCATTATGAAGGTACAAAAATATAAAACTTACTGCCAGAATGCGTACACAAATTAGAAAAAGAAAGGAATCATACCTTATTAATAAAAATAAAATACAAACCCCAAAGATAAGTAATAATAGAGAAAGAATGAAATGAAAGATACACAATACAATCAGAATTAACTAAGAAATCCAGAGAGAAGAAATCTAGAGTTATCAGAGGTGGGAGTGGGGCGGGAGAGAGGGATAGGAAGAAATTGGATAAGGGACATAAAGAATAAGTACAACTGCAATAATATATATGCTAATAATACTTATTTGATCAACATATGTCAACACTGAACCCACCAAATATGTGTAAACAATTATGATTCAATAAAAAATAAAAAGAAATAAAAAGAAAATAAAAAGAAACCATGAGACCTTATGGAGTTACCCTTAGATCAGTTTACTTATGGTTTTATCTTGTATATGGGAGTCTGAATAAATTGATATTAAATGTGAAAAAAATACCAACAAAATTACAGGATTAAGATCTTATGTATCGATAATAATTGAATATAAGTAGATTAAATGCCCCAATTAAAAGACAGACAGACTAAAATTATTTTTTAAAATGACCCTTTCATATGTTGCCAAAAGAAACACACTTTACCTACAGAGAATACATAGATTGAAAGTGAAGGGGTGGAATAAGATATTCCACACAAATGGAAAACAAAAATGAGCAGGTGTATCTATACTTATATAAAACAGTCTTTAAATCAAAAGAGGTGCTAAGAAACTGGGAAGAACTTTATATAGTAATAAAGGGATCAATACAGCAAGAGTATATAACAATTATAAATATATATATGCACGCAGCACCAGAACAACCAGATATATAAAGCAAATATTATCAGAGCTAGAGTGAGATATAGACACCAACACAATAATATTTGGGATCATTAACACTCTACTCTTAGCATTGGATAGACCATTGAGACAGAAAACCAACAAAGAAACATCAGATTTAAATAGATTCATAGACCAGATGGACTTAAAAAACATTTAGAGAACATTTTGTTCAACAGCTGCAGAATACACATTTTTCTCATCAGCACATGAAGCCTTCTCCAGAACTGACCATAAGACAGAAGCTAGGACACAAAACCAATCCCAACAAGTTCAAAATAATCAAATTCATATAAAGTATTTTTTTTTCTGACCAAAATGGCTTAAAACTAGAAACCAATAACAATAGAAACACTTGAAACTACACAAATAGATGGAAATTAAACAGCATGAGATTAGAAATGAAATTAAAATAATTCCTGAAACCAATGAAGACAGAAACACAACTTATGAAAATAGATGGGATAAAGCCAAAGAAGTACTAAGAAGAATGTTTCTAGCAATACATGCCTATATCCAAGAAAAAAAAAAAATAAGAGAGAAAGATTTCAAACAACCTAACAATGAACCTCATGGAACTAGAAAAACAAGAACAAACAAAACCCAATATAAGTAGAAGACAAAATTAATAAATATCAGAGAAGACATAAATAAATTGAAACTAAAAACAAATACAAAAGATCAATCAAATAGTTGGTTTTGAAAAAGATAAACAAATTCAGCAAATTGTTAGAAAGACTATCCAAGAAAAAAAGATAAAACACTCAACTAAATAAAATCAGAAATGCAAAATGAGAAATTACAACTCAGATCACTGAAATTCAAAGGATTGTTATAGACTATTATGAACAACTATACACCAATAAATTTGAAAACCTAGAGGAAATGGATAAATTTCTGGCCACCCATTCTGTACAAAGCCTGAATCAAGAAGAAATAGAGAACATGAACGGACTAATAACAAGTAATGAGATTGAGTCAGTGATAAAATCTTTCCCAACAATGAAAAGCCCAGGGCCAGATGGCTTTACTATTTAATTCTACCAACATTTAAAGAACTAATACTTATAATTCTTTAAATATTTCAAAAAAACTAAGTTGACAGAATTTTCTAAACTGCTCTTATTAGGCAAGGATTACCCTGATACCCAAATCAGGCAAGGCCACAACCCCCCCAAAAATTATTACATCCCAATATTCCTGATGAGCATAAAGGTAAAAATACTCAAAAAAAATATTAGCAAAACAAATCCAACAGCACATCAAAAGATTATAAACCTTGAATAAGTAGGATTTATCCCAAGGATGCAAAAATTGTGCATCATATGGATATCAATACATAAGTAAATCTCATTCACAGAATGAAAGAAAAAAACCTATATGCTTATCTTGACAGATGCAGAAAAAGCATTTGACAAAATTCAACATAACTTAATCAAAAAATTATCAAAAAAAAAGATATGTTATAGAAGGAATGTATCTTAATAAAATACAATAATACAATAAAAACTATATACGACAAACCTACAGCTAACATCATAATGAAAGAAGCTAAACAAAGACATCCACTGTCACCACTGTTTTCAAAATATTACTGTAAGCCTAGCCAGAGCAATCAGGTGAGAGAAAAAAATAAAGGACATCCAAACCAGAAAGGAGAAAGTCAAATTGTCCCAGTTTGCAGATGACGTAATTATACATACAGAGAAACCTAAAGAATCTACTAAAAATCTCCTAGACCTTATAAACAAATTCAGCAAATCTGCAAGATACAAAATCATTATACAAAAATCAGTACCATTTTTATACAGCAATGGCAATCAGAAAAATAAATCAAGAAAGCAAGCTCATTTCCAATAGCTGCTAAAAAACAAAATACCTATGAGTAAATTTAACTGAGGAAGTGAAATATCTCTACAATGAGAACTACAAAACACTGCTGAAAGAAATTAAGGAGGACACAAAAAGATGGAAAGACAGTCCATGTTCATGGATTTAAATCATTAACATTGTGAAAATGTCCATATTACCCAAAGTGATCAACAGACTCAATGTAATTCCCACCAAACTACCAATGACATACTTCACAAAAACAGAAGAAAAAAAACCCTCAAAAACTTATGTAGAACAACAAAAGACTTATTATAGCCAAAGTAATTCTGAACAAAAAGAACAAGTTGGGTGACATTACACTCCCTAGCTATAAAATATTCTACAAATCTATAGTAATCAAAACAGCATTGTAGTGGCACAAAACAGACACATGGATCAATGAAAGAGAGTAGCGAATTTAGAAATAAATCCACATACATTCATCCAAGTGACTTTTGACAAAAAGTCAAAAACATACATTGGGGAAAGGATACACTTCAATAAACGGTTGTGGAAAAACTGGAGATTTGTATGCACAAAAATAAAACTAGACCTCAATATTTCACCATATACCAAAATCAACTCAAAATGGATTAAAGAGTTAAATGTAAGACGTGAAACTTTAAATCTTCTAGAAGAAAACATAGAGGAAACACTTCAGGTGTAGGACTGGGCAATAATTTTATAAATAAGAGTTCTGAAGCACAGGCAACAAAAGAAAAATAAACAAATGAAATTATTTCTACTAAAAATCTTCAGCATAAAAAAGGAAACAACAAAAAGAATGAAAAGACAACCTAGAGAATGGCAGAAAATATTTGCAAACTCTGTATCCAACAGGGGATTAATATTCAGAATACACAAAGAACTCAAAACTCAATAGTAAAAAAA